GGACTGCCTGCGGCCGCCGCTTCCTCCGGGCTGCCTGTGGCTACCGTTACGCCGGCCCTCTGCCCTCCACCCCCGCTCAGCATGCAAGCCCACCCGCCCGTCCCCCTTGAGCCCCTTGCGGTGACCTGGCTCGGAGAAGGTGGCTCTGGGCTCCAAGGGACGACCGCCCTGCCCCGATGCTGGGGCGGGGACCATGCCGGAGACCTGGGCTGCCCGCTTCAGTGGAGTCCGTGTTTTGCTTTGCTTGCTTGTCCCCACCCTGTCCCGAGCCGGGCCTCCCAGCCTTCCCTCCCTCCTTCCCACCATCCCCACTTGGACCTGGGGCCGCGGACAGTGATCCCTCCCTGGCTTTGGACTTGAATCCTCAGCAGAACTAGAGCCTCGCAGCCTCCACCGGAAGAACTGGGGTGTAGAGCCCCCAGGAGGGCCTTTCTGGGGCAGCGGTCACTCACCTGGGCCCTGGGAGGAGGCAGAGGTGCCGCGTGGCCTCCTGTTGGGCCCTTCCAGTCCAGCTTCTTTATACTTAAAACAATGAGTCTGACCCTGCAGGGAGGCGGGAGCCAGAATCCGCCCATCACTCAGCCGGTCGGAGGGAGGCCTTTCCCTCGGTCCCGCCCCCGCAGAGCCTTGCACCAGCAGGACCCCTCCAGGGTCTTTGGGGCTCTCCCAGGAGCCCCCTCTGCCAGCCCGGATGTCCTAGAGTCTCTTGGGCTGCCACGTCCACCCAAGGCCTGGGGTTGTTGGGAGCCAAGGACCCCCCTCTCCCAATTCCCTCACCACTCCTGATCGGGGGCACCCCACTCCTGGTGATGTGTAAATATTTCTATTGGAGCCCTCTCCACCCCCAGAACTGGCTCAAACCTCTGGCCGCCCATGAGCGATGGACCCGGGTGCTGGGAGAGGCCGAGGGCTTGGCGGGGGTGAGTGGTCAGCCCTGTGTACATTATCCGATCCGTGGGTACCAGCCAACCTGAATAAAGCGGTTTAAAACAAGCTGCAGGCCATGTCTTTCTGGGGCATTTACCTGGGAGCCCAGCTGCAGGCCCAGGGAGCGGGGAAGCTTGGCTGGTCCGAGCCAATGCAGGCAGAGGTCCGCGCTTCTCTGCCCCAGTAAGCAGGGGCTGCTGTCTGCAGAGCAGGGGAGCTGGCAGGGCTGGGAAGAGGGCAGGAAAACCAGCCTTTGTCTGGCTCCGGCCAGTTACCAAGCACTTGAATTATTCCTTGATTCTGAGACAATCACACACACCCAGAAGTGTGCATAAAGCATGTTTTTGTAAGATTTATGAGTGATTATATTATATTAAGCAAACACATAACCACCACCTACCAGGCGTGTCATCACCAGAACAGACCCCCACCCCAGCTGAGTGTCTTCTCCGTACTTCCCCACCCCTCCCTTTTAGAGGCGGCTACAGTACTGACATTTTTTTTTTTTTTTTTGGTCCGGGTGATCGAACTCAGGTCCTTGTGCTTGCAAGGCAGGTGGCGGAACCACTGAGCTAAATCTCTGGCCTACAGTAATGACTTATAAGACAATCACAGATTTTATATTCTTCTTATAGTCTCAATACTTATGTGTATATTACTTTCAACAAAGTATTTGAGTTTTGTCTTTTTGAACCACGTATGCATAGAATCAGACTGTTTTTCTTTTCTATGCCTCCCACCCCACCGCAGTACTGGGGATTGAATCTAGGGCCTTTACATTGAACTACATCCCTAAACTCTTTTTTATTTTTTACTTCGAGACAGAGTCTCATTGAGTTTTGCCCATACTGGGCTCAAACTTGTGATCCTCCTGCCTCAGGCTTTCAGAGTGCTGGGATTACAGGTGTGTAGCACCACACCCAGCTGGACTATTTTTCATGGAACATAATATGGAAGTCACCCATGCTGTTACATGTGTCTATAATTTCACTCCACTCTGCTGTTGGAGGGGATTTAGGGTATGTTGTCCCCTGGCTGCTCTTACCTGGAGCACTGCTGCGAGCATCTTCATCCCTGTCTCTGGTCCACATGAACATGATCTTCTAGGGGTGATTTCCAGGGCAGAGGTACAGGTGCTTTAGTGCCTCCGGTCCCTAGAGCAGATATCACCAGCCACTAGCTATGGCTGAGGAAACAGGATCAGGGAGGCTGAGTAGTTTGCCCAGGGTCACACAGCTGTTGAACTCAGACTTCCCCGGCCCCAAAGACTGTTTGTTCTGTTCTGGCAGAACTGGACCCCCTGTGTCTCCTCCCCCCATGCCCGGGCTCTGGACTCCCCTTGGCTCATCCCAGCTGAAAGTCCCATCTGCCAAAGTCCTGCTGAGACTCTGCTGGAGCCAGCTGGTGCCCCCTCCGTGCACCTGCAGAAGCCAGCAGCATCACTGTTCAGGGGCTGGGACCAAACGCAGTGATGGTTCCCATGGCCATGATCCCAGCACAGGACAACACCCCAGCAGCCCCAAGGTGGGCGTTGCACCCTCAGTTTTCAGATGAGGACACCAAGTCAGAGAAGGGTGAGTGGAGGATGGATGAGTAGATGGAGATGCAAATAAGCCAGGCTATGAGGCAGGCAGGGCCCAGACCTGTTGCAGAATTCACGTATTCAGGGTTGCCTGGTCTGACCATGGTCCTCACAGGCCAGCGGGAGCCTTTATTCAATGGATATGGAAGCCCTCCAGAAATGTCCAAGGGCAAGATGGCCCAGGTCCATCTGGGAAGGCCTGGGAGGACCCAGCTCATGCTGAGGTGATAACAGCGCTCACCATCCTGAGCACCAGCTCCGCACTGGGAGCTAAGTGAAAGCGAAATTCTGGGCTTCCACGGGGTCTCATCTGAGCCGTCCCAGGCCTGTGTCTCCTCTCCATCCTCCCTCTTCCCTGGAAGGATTTGGAGGGATTTCCTTTGTGCCCCTGGGAAGGCAGATGGGGCAGATGACAGTGCCCAGGACAGAGTCCATCCCTGCCCATCCTGGCTGCACGGCCTCAGGCACTTCCTCTTCTTACCTCCCGCCTGACTTCCCTTCTCTGTGTGACAGGGATGCCCCCAGGGAAACGGTCCAAACCCCAGTGAGGCGCCACCTCACACACACTGGGAGGGCTCCAATGAGAAGTCCTGGCGAGCAGGGGGACACACTGCTGCGGGTGAGAGCAGGGCAGCTGCTTTGGAAGGAGGGCAGGCCCTTCGCTGGAGTGCTGAGCAGAGAGGCACGCCAACTTCGGTGATTCCACTCCTGAGTACCTGCCCAGGAGAACCAAAACCAGGGCCCGGGATGTAGCTCAGTGGTTCCGATGCCTGCCTCCCAAGTACAAGGTCCTGAGTTCAATCCCCGATACTAAACAAACAAAAACAACATTCCCCCCAAAAGGAACGGTGTTTGGATACATGCAACACCATAGACCAACCTTGAACATACAGTGGTAAGTGAAAGCGGCCAGATACCAAAGCCCATAGCCCATGATTCTATTTCCATGAAATGCCCAAACAGGCGTCTGTAGACAAAAACTAGGTTGGTGGTGGCCCAAGATTTAGGGCAAAGAGAAATGGGTACAGTTTCCTTTGGAGGTGATACAAATGTTCTAAAATTGATTGCGATAATGGTTGCAAAACTGTGGAAACATAATTTTTTGTTTGTTTTGAGACAGGGTTTTGCTGTGTAACCCATTCAGGCTGGCCTTGAACTCACTATGTAGTCCAGGTTGGCCTCAAACTCATGGTGATTCTCCTGCCTCAGTCTCCTGAGTGCTGGGATTGCAGGCGTGCGCCACCACACCTGGCCTATGTGAATATACTAGAAACCACTGAATGTATATTCTAATTGAGAGGTGTGGTATGTAAATTATATCTCAATAAAGCTTTTAAAGAAACAAGATGCTCCTAAATACAGCACTCACATGTGAGAACCAGGCTCCTGGGAAATTCTGACTCCTATTAATACTGCTGTAGTTGGTACAGGAAAGCCAGAATTAAGATGCGCTCGGCCTCTGGGCACAGCTGGTGGTGAAGGGGGCTGGGCGACAGCAGAGAGACATGAGGCAAGAGGGAAGCTCCCACAGAGGGTATGCGAGTGCCCTCCTGCATAGCTGTAGGCCACTTTTCTCCTTATTCACCAGCATAAGAACAACTTGGGGAATCAGGTGTGGTGGTGGGAGCCTCTGGTCTGGGCTATGCGGGAGGCTGAGGCAGGAGGATTGCTTGAGTTCAGGAATTTAAGGCCAGCCTGAGTAACATAGTGGGCCCCACTGGGGGAAAAAATCACCCCAAACCAAAGTGACAACAAAAAACACCAAAAACCAACCTAGGACAGGGCATGCTTGTTATAAATTCAGATGTCTGGATTTCCTCTTGGCCTTCAGACTCCCGTGGGCCACCACCTATATTTAGGTTAACAGTTTATCTCAGAGATGCTCCCACTCAGGTTTTTTTTTTTTTAATGGCTGTAGAATATCCCATTATAGAGACAAACCAGGATTTATTTAGCCAGGCCCTAAGTGATGAACATTTAGGCTGCTTCCAATTGTGTACTCTTATAAACAATGTTGCAGTGAATTTCCTGGATTAGAAATCTGTGTGTGCATACGTGAATATGTTTGTAAGATAAATACCTAGAAGTTAGAATTGTTGGGTCAAAGAGTTTGTGCATTTTTAACCCTGGTAAATTACTTCCTATTGAAGGGGAGCGCTTTGCACTCGTACAGGCTCTGTGAGAATGTTCACCTTCTCACATCCTCACCTCTACAACCGGGAACCAAATATACAGATCATGGGCAACTGCATACCGATCTTGGGAAATCTGTTGGGTAAGGTGGAATCTCTTTGCTTATTTCAGACCCATTTGTACTCTCTGGGGACAAACAGCTTAGCACCTTTACTTTTTTTTCTCTTCCTTCCTCTCCCCCTCCAACCAGTACCAGGGATTGAATTTGGGACCTTACACTTTTGAGGCAGGTGGCAGCACCACTGAGCTAAATTCCTAAGCCCGCCCTTTGTTTGTTTCTTTCTTTCCCTACGGGGTCCTGTCCTGTAATCCAGGCTGGACTTAAATTCACTATGTAGCCCAGGCTGGGCTCAAACTCACGGTGATCCTCCTATTTCCCCCTCCTGAGTGCTGGGATTACAGGCGGGTGCCACCACACCTGGTTTACGCTTATTTTTCTATGAGCTGGTTGGCTATCATTTACTGATTTGTAACAACTCTATGAGATGAATTTCAGACATTTTTCTTCTTTTATTTTACTTTTGAATGTCCTTTTTTTTGCCGAGTGAATTATTTATTGTTAAGCAGTTTATGTCTATTAATCTCTTATCATTTCAAAGTAATTGTTCATATATATATATATATATATATATATACACACACACACACATATATATATATTAATAACTACTATCCCATATTTTTTTCTAGATTTTTAAATTTTCTTATTACCATCTCAACACCACTTATATTTTTCCTCTCTGATGTGAAATGCCACCATTATAATACTTCAAATTCATATATGTGGGCTTCTTCTTAATCTTTTCTGTCCTCTTCATCTCATTCATGAGTCATTACCACACCATTTCAAGTATTATAGTTTTATAACACATTTATTATCTCCTAAAGCTTTCTACTCCTCTGTATGTGTTTTCAGAACTTGCCTGGATTTTTCTCTGGCTTTTTAATGTGAACTAGAATCATCTTATCTTGTTAAAAAAAATTTGATTGTCAGTCAAGAGTGGTGGTGCATACCTGTAATCCCAGCACTTGGGAGGCTGAAGCAGGAGGATCCCTGTGAGTTTGAGACCAGCCTGAGCTACATAGTGAGTTCCAGGTCAGTCTCAACTACATAGTGAGACTCTGACAAAACAACAACAACAACAAAAAAAATTCAATTGTTATTCAGGTTGGGATTATGTTAAATTTGACTTACATATTCAGAGTGATGTCTTTGTGTCTCTCAACGTCTCAACACTCCCTTCCCTGGTATTCTCTCTCACTTTGTTTAAAGTTTCTTTTGTGTGCATCTCTAAGGAGCGTTTTAGGAATAAGATGGATGTCTGGATGAAAAGAAGGATATAAATATGCATAGATACATGGATTGAGATAGATAATATGTGGGAAATATAAAAAACATAAACTCTAGAATCAGGGTGGCAGGTATATGTGTAATCTCTGTACAGTTATTTCAACTTTTGGGTATTAAAACTTTTTTTTACAAAAGGACATTGAGGGATGAGAAAGTATTTACCTTCCAATCTAGGCACAATAGTCTTAGTCTATTGGGAGGCTGATGCAGCAGGGTTCCTTGAGTCCAGGAGACTGGCCTAAGCAACATGATGAGATCTGAAAGAGAGAGAGAGAGAGAGAGAGAGTGAGAGAGAGAGAGATTTCTTCTTATAGGCTTTGCATACTTCTCACTGAGTTAATTTCTTGTCATGTTTATGATAATAAAGTTTTTTCTTCTGTTATGCATTCTAATTGGTGTTTGTATAAATATAAAGGCTGGTTATTTCCATATTTTGTTTTACTTTTTTGGTACCAGGATTGACTCCAGAGGCTCATGCATGCTAAGTGTGTACCTTACCCCTGAGTTATACCAGCCCAGTTTCTGTATTTTACCTTGCATATCCACCCACTTTGTTCAATTTTTATTGCTTATAATAGTTTTTCAGTTGATTCTTCCCAACCACAACCAAGCCAAGTAAATTATATCTGCAAGCAAGGTTATCTTTCTCATTTCTTTCTAATCTCTATATTTCTTTATTGTTCCTTTCTCTTATCTAATGTGTTGGGCATTATCTCCATGGCAATATTAAATGACAGAACTGCTAGAAGACATTTTGTCTTGCTTTTAACGTTAACATAAATGTTTCCTTTGTTCCCAGTGCTGACTTTTGAATATGTGTCCAGTCTCCTGTGATTGTTGTAGGAGACTGACTTCTCGTTGGTGAGGCTCCCAGACACTTGGGTGTGAATAGTCTGTGTCAGGTGGATGCCATCCAGGACCCAGGAACACGTCCACACCCCTGCCCACCCCTGCCCCACCCCAACCCCACCAAAAAGGAAAAAATATTCTGGAGTGATGCTAAGTGCCTTTCTTAATCATCTTTAGGTATAGCCCTAAAAGCCAACAGGTACAATATCTAATACATGGGCTTTGGGGTCTGACAGACATGAGTTCAAATCTCAGTTCTGCTACCTCTAAAATACATGGCATTAGATCCACCTCCTCTTCCTGAACTTTAAAATTTCTTTGGAGAATGTTATGGCTTCTATCTGGATGCCCCCCGCCAAAGCCTCACGCACTCAGAGGTGGGGGATTGGGGAGGTGATTGAATCATGGGAGCACGATATTATCCATGAATTAGTCCACTGATAAGTTTACAGCTAAAAGTGATGCTGGGAGGTGAAGCCTGGTTGGATTATGGGGAGCACGGTCTGGAAAGATCTATCTCCCTCTCTCTTCTCCCTTAATGTCTCTCTGCTTCCTGCTGCCCTGCCATGAGCTGTTTCTTCTCTGCCATGTCCCTTTGCCATGCTGCCCTGCCTTGGAGCCAACCGATTATGGATTGCAACCTCTACAAACTGTGAACCAAAACCAAAGCAAAACAAAACACAAAATCACAAACCTCTCCCCACTTAACTTATAGGTGTTGGGTATTGAGTCCTAGCGATGAGAAAGTAACTAAGAGAATTAATTGATGGGAACACTGAACTCACATTTCTCATCATGGGCTGGGGACTGGATAGCACCTGGAGATCCACGTAGCCAACAAGCTCCTCTGCAGGCTAAGATCTGTGAATGGTTGGGGTCTCCCTTAGGCATGGCAAGGTGTCTGGAAAGATGAATATACCTGTACCCGGCTGAGAGCTGCGGTCATTTCTGAGACATGTGATAGGAGAGATGTAGCCTGGTAGGCTTTTTGTAAAGGACAAATATTGCATCTGTACCTTGAAACACATCTAAATATTTAAAGAAAACCAATCAAGAAACGAGAGTGGGAATAAAATGGGGGAACGGGAGCATGCCGAGGTTGGCAGGAATACTAGTATGTGCACCATCTGGTGTCTGAGGCCCCTTGACAACATCTTCTCCTCCGATGGAAAAAGCCTTTGTGACCCTGCTCAGGCAGACCCCAGAGCCTGGAGCCTGCCTGCTCCACCTCCAGCCTCGCCCACCATCCCCAGCCCTACTTCTTCTTCTTCTTCTTTTTTTTTTTGTCTTGATTTAGTTCAGGTTTCCACACTCCTTTCAGACCTCTTGTCTAAAATACTTGCCTAGTCCCAGCATGTGAATCTCCACACCAGGGCTTTTCACATGCAGTCCATGTCCAAGACTGTAGAGGAAGACATGAGTTTTACAAACTTGAATGGGGACAAAAACTTTATGTCTTTATTTTCATGAACTTTTCACTGAAACTTAGTATTTCCTTCTTTTCTGAATGTAAAGAAAAATTACAGTATATTAACAGTACCTATGACTTTCATATTGATAAAACTCACAAATATCTTCATATCATAAAAGGGTTGTACCTCAGAACATTGTTTATACTCATCACCGCTTCAGAATTATGGGTATTATTAGACAGGCTGCTAGATTTTATTTATTGCACTAACAAAAAACACATTTATTATATCATACATTAAAAGTACTTTGAAGTTTGTATTTCAATATAATTGGTTTTATTCGTAGTTCTCTCATTTAATTTGATGTAGTTAAAAACAGTTCTGAGGGCTGGGGATTTAGCTCAGTGGTTCCAGTGCCTGCCTCACAAGTGCAAGGGCCAGAGTTCAATCCCTGGTACCAAAATAATAATAATAATAATAATAATAATAATAATAATAATAATAATTCTGAGAAGGCATCCATAGCTTTGCCAGACTGCCAAAGGGGTCCATCATGCCCAAGAAGGTGAGAAAACCTTGCCTAAGCCAACCCTGACAATTCCATTGTCTTGCTAAGGACTAGTTTTGGAGGTGTCATGTAACCTGGTCATGGTCAACCAGATATGAGGAAACACCTGCTAGAGGAAAGGGGAGTCCTTTCTGGGAAAGTTTTTGGCTCTCAAAAGGAAACACAAGGAAGGCATATCTAAGCTTTCTCTATTTCTTGGGGTCTGAGCATGTCTGGCTTTCTCCAACCACTGGGCACCTATGAGGAAGATTGCTAACCCATGTGAAAGGAAGAGATAACCAATGGAAAAGGCCTGGGTCTTTGAAGGTACAGATGAGCTAGTGGCTTAGCCAGACATAGAACCATGCTACAAATGGACTCCTGCCATTGATCAAGAAATCCCTTACAATCAAGGCCTTTGGGTCAGTCATCTCCTACTTGCAGTCAGAAGTACCTTCTTGAATTCACTGTAGGGCTCCAGCTAACCCCAAAGAACAAACAAGTCATTAAGATAGCATCTGAAAAAGAAAAAAAATATGAGAAAATGAAAAAATGGAAATAAAGTCTTTGTAAATAAGGAAGGGAGGAGGGGGTGAAGGGAGGGCAGGGAAAAGGGGAAAAAATGAGAACCAAGACCTGTCATGTAAAGGTAACAAGAGCCCAATGATGAATGTAACAACTGTATACCTAAAATGTACCAATAAACTCAATGAGAGAGAGAAAAAAAGATAGCAGCTGACTGTTTTGTGCTGGCCACTGATGCCCAGACTACTGTGGGTCTTAACATAATGATGGTTTAGAGAAAGCCCAGGTACACTCTAGTTGGCCAAGGCCTACCAGCTGAGCATGTAAACTCTTTCCTCCCATTCTGAGGTGTGGGATTCCCCTGTCTTGTTGACACCCACAACGGGCTTCTGCTCCTAAGTCACTAATAGATTGTGATCCTAGATTTGTCTGCTTCTTTCTTCAGTCTTTCAGCACCTTCTGGATTTAGCAGCTTAGGTGTTTCTAGTACACTCACCATGCTCTTTTTCTCCCGTCATGTTTCCCTCATTTTGTCCTAGCTATCACTGAGTGATATAGAGAAATCAGCCAGTTCCTTCTTCCATTATTGAGATTGGTCAGATCTTCTTCTCTCAGGGTTGAACATCTTCAGATCCTTCAACATGACTTAAGAGGCGTGGTTCCTATGTACCCTAACATGTATATCTGCCCAGGACAGTGATTTTCATATTGTAGCATGTACCAGAATCATGCTAATGTTTGTTAACGTTTACTTATTGAAATGCTGACACCTGGGCCCCATTCCAGAGTTTCTGACTCAGTAAGACTGGAGTGGGACCCATAATTTGCACTTCTTACAAATTCCTGCGTGATGCTGATGGTGCTGGCCTTGGACACTACAGTTTTAGAGTCATGGGTCAAGGGCCCTACGAAAACATGTTCCTCAAAATGAAATCACTACTCAAGGTAAGAAAAACAGAACTATTACCTCCCTCACTATTGATAGTATTTGTCTATTGCTGCATCCCAAATTACAAAGTACTTTCTCATGCCACTGAACTCAATCTCAACCAAAACTCTGAAGCCCATTTCATATATGTGGCTCTTCAACCCTCTCTTTAGTCTATAAAATGGGAGGTATTTTAGTGAGTGTTCAGCATGTGCTAAATCAGGGTGGGTGTTAGGGCATTTAGCCCTCACAGTTACCCTTGAAATAGGCAATGATCTCTTTCTGGGAAAGCTGACATCCAGAGAAATAAAGAAGAAGAAGAAAAAAACTTATCAAGATTATCCAATTGGTAAATAAATGAGGGACCCAGGATTTGAGTCTGAGTTATAGAACTCCACAATTAAGAGCACTGCTGCTTAACAGCATCTATTAATCAGCTGCCCTTTGGGGCTCAAGATAAATTTACCTAATTGTCCCTCATCTAAGTTCATTTCTCTTTCTTGTCCACAAGGTCATCGCGTGTGATTGTTGTGAAGTGCCCCAGATTCCTTGAGTCCCCATTATCTTCTCCATCTGTAACTTAGCTCTTATGCTGTCCTCAGCCCTGTTCTTGAAAAAGAGGAGGCTCTGCTTGCTGAGTTGTATTTGAAAGTGTTAACTGTGGGCACATTTTAATAAAGGCCATTTTCTAGGCTGTATCTACGTAAATGTTCCAATTTAATATGCAAATCTGCTACAAGTGATTTAGGGTGTGCTGGGCCTTTATTGTTCTAGTTGCAGTTATGTTGATTTAGCCCATAGCTGTATGTTTAATAATTTAGTAAGCAACCTTATTTTTTAATCTCCTTTTGTCCTCATGTTTCATCCTTTCCACATTAAGGGACTTTAGGCCTGCAAGAAGTTTTGGTTTAATGAAGAATCAATTTTTGAATAAGTGCAGCTGCAAAAGGACTCCATCCAAATGCCAGGGAAGACTTTAAATTCTTTTTTTTTCAA